CCCGACTCAGGTCCCAGCCTGAAGGGGCATCTGCCCAAGGTACAGATGCCCAGCATCAAGATGCCCAAGGTGGACCTCAAGGGCCCCCAGGTGGACATCAAGGGCCCCAAGCTGGACGTGAAAGGCCCCAAGAGCGGGGTGAGTGGCCTTGACCTGGAGATGGAGCTGCCCTCTGGACAGGTGGACATACAGGCCCCCACCACCAAGATGGAGGAGGACCTGGCCCCAGAAGACAAGGAAGTGGCCACCAAAGACAGCAAGTTCAAAATGCCCAAGTTCAAGATGCCCTCCTTCGGCCTGTCTGCCACTGGAAAGGCCTTGGACGCATCCGTTGACATAAAAGTGCCTAAGGTAGAGGCCGATGTGGCCTTGCCTTCCACACAGGGTGACCTCATGAGCTCAGAACTCAGCATCCAACTGCCCGCCACTAACCTAGACACCAGGGATGGCCAGGTGGGTGTGACCCTCCATGATAGCCCCCTGCCTAAGGAAGAGCTGCCAGGGGAACCTGACATTAAATCTGGCCTAAAGGGGCACCAGCCCAAAGTGCAGATGCCCAGCATCAAGATGCCCAAGGTGGACCTCAAGGGGCCCCAAGTGGACATAAAGGGCCCCAAGGTGGATGTGAAAGGTCCCAAGGTTGAGGTGAGTGTCCCAGACCTGGACGTGGAGCTGCCCTCTGGGCAAGTGGACATACAGGCCCCCAACACCAAGCTGGAGGGGGACCTGGTCCTGGAAGAAAAGGACGAGGCCACCAAAGACAGCAAGCTCAAAAGGCCCAAGTTCAAGATGCCCTCTTTTGGCATCTCTGTCCCCGGCAAGACCTTGGATGCGTCTGTGGAGGTGAAAGGGCCTAAGGTAGGGACTGGAGTCGTCCTGCCCTCCATCCAGAGTGACCTCAAAACCCCTGACCTCAGTATCCAGCTGCCCACCGCCGACCTGGAGACCAGGGCTGGCCAGGTGGACGTAACCTTCTCTGAGGCCACCCTGCCCAAGAAAGAGCTGCCGGTGGCCCCTGCTTCTGGAGTTGGCCTTAAGGGACACCTGCCTAAGGTGCAGATGCCCAGCATCAAGATGCCCAAGGTGGACCTCAAGGGCCCTCAGGTAGATGTCAAGGGCCCCAAGCTGGACGTGAAAGGCACCAAAGGTGAGGTGAGCACC